CTGTGTACTTTTACTGAGGTCATTTACTACTATACTGTGTACTTTTACTGAGGTCATGTACTACTATACTGTGTACTTTTATTGAGGTCATGTACTACTATACTGTGTACTTTTATTGAGGTCATGTACTCGGTACACTCGCCTTTACGTGAAAAGCTTTGAGAAGTGACCTGTCTGCAGGAAAATGCTCTCGGACGTGTGGTGTTGGGGGGGGGGGGGGGGGGTGTTTGAGTAACCTCTAGGTGTAGAAAAAACTTCAGTCAAAATATTTTTATGCTTTAATCCCAGTAAATCTAAATCCCATTCCAGATGAGACGCAGCTGCTTATCAGAAGAACCACATGAATTGGTGCCGCTGCATATACTGCTGTTTGAATTAAATCTCAAGCCCCGCCCACATTCGTGCTGCAGAATGAGGTGTGCTGCTCTGAACACGAGCTCAGCCAGCGCTGCTTGCATCATTCCATGTTGAAAAGTGAAAAGACAACATTCCAAAGAACTTATTAGTTGTTTGGTTGGCTGCAGCTTCTTTGTTGCACGTCTCCGTCTCCTCTGTGACCTGCATTACTGACCGGACCTTCCGGGCAAACGGACGGAAATGGGTTTCAGGTTGAGCAACAACAAGTTTATTTTCAAAATTAACATCATGAATTTAGCTGGATGTATAATTTCAAAGCAATTTCACCGAGCTTTACAAATGTTCAGTACGTGCGCTGCCTGTGGCCTGATGCACGTAGAGAGATGTCTCTTTCCAAACACGCTGTAGTTTGAGTGTTTTGTTGCATATCTGCTCTGCAGTTGGTGCATTTGTCTGTTTGTGCATATTCCAACAACAACAAAAAAAGCCTTCTAATTCCTAGTGAACATATATTCCCATCATTTGTATCATTTTCTAGATTTGACAAAAATTGTCTCAATTTTTTTTTGTCATTTCTCAACTCAAGATGATTTTAGCGTAAAAACTCTTGCATGAAAGGTGACAGGATTTGAATCCTGCAGGATCTTTGCATTGCTTCAAAGATTTTTGCTTTAAATCATATTTTTGCAAATCGTGCATGCTTCTACTCAAATATAACGCGTCATTGTACTAGAAAACAACTTGGAGGTGTTTTGAAGGCTGCTTCTTATTTGTCATGATTTATTTGATGTCTCCATGCTCCTTCTATTTACTGACATTTATCTCATGCAGCTTTATTGTTTTTCTCACGGAAGAAAAACATCAGTCAATAACCTTCACCTCATTAATCGTCTAATAAATCAAATTCTTATTCATTCATTCAGCCTTTATTTAGACAGGTTAATCCCATTGAGACTCGAGGGCTCATTTACAAGAGAGACCTGATTTCAACAAAGAAAGATGACAACAATGCACAACAATAAACGGTTATAAAAAGTCATACATTTTTTTTATTTTTTTTTACAAGTAGGATGGCTAAAAAAAGAAAAGTGACAAAAAAACAGCTAGATTTTAAGGTGAATGTAGAAAACTAAAAACAGGAACATGTGAATTATGAATTTAATTATTGAATTATGAATTTAAGAGAGGACATCAGGAAGCTTGTGTCCATCCTGTTGTTATCCTATAAAACAGAAATACACAAATCAGCACAAACTAGTTTCGTTGTTTCCTTCCCTGTAATGGAAACGTGCACCAAATGAGCTCATTCAGGTTAAAATACTTCGCCAATGCAGTAATTACTCTAGGAGTAAAAGTAGTCGTGACTGTATTGTTTGAGTTAGTCACACCTGTCCAACAAGGAAAGCCTCTGCTGAGACTAATTTAGGTCATCAGAGGGGCGGGGCTTAAGTTGTAGACAACCTTAAGAAGGGAGAGCTTTACCTCAGGAGCAGAATGCACGAGGAGGGTTTAGCGCTAAGTCCTCCCGAGGACAAATATAGCCGCAGTGAGTCCAGCTCTCAAGAGGTTTCAGCTGATCCTGATCCCAGTGCTCGGAGAGACTCTCAGACAACCGTCGTCTGACTCGAACCACGAGAAGAATTCTCCATAGCTGCTATAAAATGTGGAGCGCTCGAGGAAGTTGTTAAAGGCAGAATGAGGCAGTAGAGTCCGAACCGTTTACCGGGACAGAGCATCGTTTTCCAGCCGAGTCAGTGTTTAAAGCAGCGTTTTCTTGTGTGCGGCCATGAAGTTTCACCAGTGTGTAGTCGAGGACACTCCGGGGAGCCACAGCGAGAACAAAGTCTGGAAATGGTGAGAGAGCATCTCCGTCTCTTTTAACATGCTGTAAGGGACAAACTAGAAACCAGATGTTCAGAGAGTCTTACTGAAATGATCCCTCGAATTTATGCTTAGCTACGTCTTTAATGTGTTTTAGAGTAAATGTGGCTGCAGTGATGTGGATGCACGGTGTGATCATCAAGGTGTACAGCTGTGTGTGTGTGTGTGTTCTCACAGAACGGGTGGTTGAATGAAAGGTGGTGGTCAGGGTGTGGGTGCTTTGAGGAGCAGGTCGTGAATAGATCAGAGGATCACTGTTAAAATGCTAACGAAGCCACGCTTTTGTTTCCTCTGACACAGCTGACGGCCGGTCTGCTCGGGTTTTACATCCTGTCTGAGTTTGACCCGTTCACAAATCCTTTGTGCTTGATTTGGTTTTATGTCCCTGTGGTTTTGTGTGAGCTTGCGTGTTGTCGGTGGGTGTTTTTTTGTGGAAAAAGGAACTGGACGTGTCTTTATGGTGTTGCTTTCAGGTGCAAGCTGCAGATGCAGAGCAGGAACTCGCTTCAGTCAGATGGGTGAAACAGCAGCATGCTGAAACACTCAAAATACACTTTAAAGTACCAAAAGTTGTAATAAAGTTATTGCAACAACTTTATGCATTAAAGATCATCTTTAATTTCCAGTATTTGTAGCTTAAAGTATCCACTAAAGGGCTAACTGAGTTACATACAACTAGATGCTAAGTTTTCTATCAGGAGCTTAAGACATTCCTGTCATCGCTTCCTCAATCTTCTCTTTTTATCTTCATGGCATCTGTTTTGGAACAATTCATTCTCCACCTGCGGTTTCCATCTGATGCATTTCTTCAACCTGTTTAAGATGGAACAGGTGATTGTCAAAACTTGAACCTGCGTGCACGTGGCACTTTCAGAGTGACGTGCTTGATAAATCGGCTTTCTTTTTTCTGGAGGAAATCACAAGATGTGAAGGAAAAGTTGGAAGTGGTGGACTTGTGGTTTTATAACACCGCGGTGGTGGAAACTAAAACGTGCTTGTGTTTAATTTTCTTGCACAAACGGGAGCATAAAATGTGAAATTACTTATTTTTTCATGACTGACTTTTTGTGACATGCATTACTGTCTGAATGTGCATTTTACCTTGAACATGCGCTAAGAACACACACTTGTACATTACTGCATATTAAAAATAGACTCCGTCATCTGTAACTGATGAATGCCACAGATGGTAAATATAAACAGACTCCCTGATTGTAAATGAAAAATTCACGCCCTGCGGCTCCAGTTTTTAGGACTCGTCTCCTTTTCCTTCTTTAGATCTGGATTAGTTTGTCAGTTTATATAAAACAAATGGCACATTTTAGTTTGTTCTGGTTGCTTGTAGAAGGTGCAGCTCTTCCAGGAGTTCGCGTTGCTGTTTTGTGTATTGGAAACATTTTTATGTCTCCTGGCTCAGTTTAGTTTTGGGTCGAGGTAAAGGTGCTGCAGGCAGCATGTGGGGTGAATCAGACTTTGATCAAACAGGATGAGTCTCTGGTTATTTAACGGCTCTTACGTCCGCTCAGCTCTTGGTTGTTGTGGGAGTTTCTCGTCATTCAGATCTTTTATTCGTGCAATTTTCTGTGAAACAGTTTGAGCCTCCCTGAAGTTCGTTTTGTGTTTTCAGGCACATTCAGGACCCCGCCAGTCAGAGGCTGACGTGGAACAAGCCACCAAAAAGTGTCCTTGTCATCAAGAAGATCCGAGATTCCAGTCTGCTTCAGCCTTTCAAAGAGCTCTGCATCTTCCTCACAGAGGTACGTCATTGAACTCCCTGATGCCTGCGAGCATTTACTTACAAGCTGGAGAGGGTCCTTTCTGTTGAAGTTTGTTTTCACACGCCTCGGCTGCACTGTTGCCAACTCGTCCAACTCGTGGCATGTTGTGTGTCGCTGCAGGTGAAAAACATGATTGTTTACGTGGAAAAAAAAGTTCTGGACGATCCAGCCATTACAGGAGACGAGAACTTTGGAACCGTTACTAAGAAATTTTGCACTTTCAGAGAAGGTATGAACCATCCCAATGACTCGTATATTTAGACTGCACGTGATTAAATGCAGACAGAACGTTAAACCTTGCTGCTTGTGATCTTGTTCAGATTTTGATGACATCTCCAATCGAATAGACTTCATCATTTGTCTTGGTGGAGATGGAACTCTGCTGTATGCGTCTTCACTCTTTCAGGTATTCATCAGTTCTCACAAAGATGGTTTTTTTTTTATGTTTCTGACTGAAACATAACGATCTCCTTCCTGTGCCCGCAGGACAGCGTTCCACCAGTTATGGCCTTTCACCTGGGCTCCCTGGGCTTCCTGACACCTTTTAAATTCGACACGTACCAGTCCCAGGTCACCCAAATTATCGAAGGTACTGAATGTTCTCTCACTCGCCTCTCAGCCTCAGGCACACATTCCTGCTACGTCTGCAGACGCAGGTGACACACGTACACGATGTCAAGACTCATGCGTGCAGCGTTTGTGTTGCAGGCAACGCTGCCATTGTTCTGAGAAGTCGCCTGCAAGTCCAGGTGCTTAAAGAGAACTGGGAGGAGAAGGACGCCGTGGACGAGAAGGGCGTCATCCTCACCAACGAGGAACACGAAATGGGCCGCAAGGCCTTGCAGTACCAGGTAAATGATCTCCAGCCACAGCTTTGACACTTCAGATTAAACTGTGTGCATTAAGTAAATGGGTCACACTGGTTTTCCAGAAATGTTTAGCTGGTTTGCAGATTCCTGCACCTGATTTCAGTCCAGTTAACTCTGATGTAAATGGGTCAAATTGCCCCTGTGATGCAGTTGTCGTGTTTCTGATGCCTGTGGGCTCTGAGCCTGTTGTTGAAGAGCAACATAGGCGAGCAGTGACATCAGTGAACCGACAATAACTGCACGTTTAGGGATTACACACTGCATTGGTGTTTTTCCTGCTAAACAAACAAACAAACAAACAAACAAACAGTGTGGTGAGATGACGTCACGTCTGTATTCATGGAACAGGTTTTGCCAACCTTTAACACATGACTTCATGCGTTTGTGTGTCAGGTCCTGAATGAGGTGGTGGTGGACAGAGGACCCTCCTCGTATCTCTCCAACGTCGACCTCTACCTGGACGGACACCTGATCACCACGGTGCAGGGCGATGGTGAGTCAGCAGATCACTGCAGAGGTGTGACAGACGTCAGGGTTCTCAGTTCCACTGGCTGCAGCACAGTTTAGTCTCCCAGCGCAGGTCGCAGAAAAATATTTAAAGAATCCAGATGTTTTGACTACCCTGTGTCACACTCTGTGCTGCGTGTTAAACTCCTGCTGTGACTGTGTGTCCCCTCAGGTTTGATCGTGTCGACACCGACGGGCAGCACGGCGTACGCACTGGCAGCAGGAGCTTCCATGATCCACCCCAACGTCCCAGCCATCATGATTACTCCCATCTGCCCTCACTCGCTCTCCTTCAGACCCATCGTGGTGCCCGCCGGGGTGGAACTCAAGGTACTTGAAGGGTTTTAATTAACACATGGTCTTCCTCTTTTTCACACATGAATTGTTTTGAACAAGCGTCTACTTCCTCTGTCTGCAATAATAACTGTACTAGATTGAAAACGTGTTTAAGTTTAAAAAGAAACAAAAACAAATTTAATTGTGGAGCAGCTGATCCACTTGCTCCTTTAAGGAGGTGTCTGTATTAGAGCAGAGCATTGTGGGAAAAAATACATTGTTACATTGTTAATGGTAAACTTCTTAAGAATTTAATGTGTACAGGAAGGCAAAACGTGAATAACTTGTTTTACCATAGTTTTTTTTTTACTGTTTATTACATTTTAGAGTGAGTTTGTGTTTTTGTAGTAAACATTTGGTCAATAAAACCCCTTTTCATTTAACTGGTTTAATAAAATTGTTTCCTCGTCTTGTTCCAGATCAAGCTGTCGCGCGATGCCAGAAACACGGCCTGGGTTTCTTTTGATGGAAGAAAGAGGCAGGAGATCTGCCACGGAGACAGGTTAGTCCACATGTCAAGCAGCGGCGTGCACACACAGAGACAATGAAGGCGCTGGAGTAAATGAAGTGAAGCTCTCAGGCTCTGTTACATAAATCTATCGGCTCGACGCCATCATGGCCCCTGAGTCAGACCCCAATCCTTTATGTAATCAGAAATAATCACCTTCCTGCTTCTTAGAACGAGTAAACACAGCATTTCATCACTGTTTTTTACATCATCAGCTCAAACATCAGGACTTTCTTTGTTCTATCCTCATTCTAGTATTACCATCACCACTTCCTGCTTCCCCGTTCCGTCCATTTGTTTCCGCGACCCGGTGAACGACTGGTTCGAGAGCCTGGCGCAGTGTTTGCACTGGAACGTGAGGAAGAAGCAGAACTACCTCAACTCGGAGGACGAGGAGTTCTGAGCTGAGGAATCGTCTGGGGTTTTTCCCCACGGATCCCCAGGACTCGGGACTGAAACTCGACTGCCTTCTGTTTCGGTCGTTCGGTCTTTAATGGACAGACGGTTTGAACCAAACTCCATTCAAATCCGCTCCGTCTGTATCGGTGTTCAAGCAGCGTTGCTCTTCCTTCTTGTATTCTTAATGCTTCTGTTGAGATACAAGGTAATCTGAATGGATTAAACAAAGATCAGCGCTAACGTGCATTAAAACCACCTCTGGGATAGACGTACTGACACATTTCTACAAATTTCTTTGCTAAAATATTTCACAAACTCGAGGAGACGGTGGTTCTTTAGAGCAAACGAGCCGCAGCGTTAACGGAGCCAGTTCTCGACAACATCCTGCATGTTGGGTATTTGAATGGGGTTTGGCCTCCGTTTGTCCAACTGTGAGAACTGTTCAAGATTAAAAAAAATTAAACCAACACTTAGAAAAAGCCAAAAACGCACAACGTCAGGATTTGATGACACGTCTTAACAATCCTCTTGAGGTGTTATCAGGTTCTCTGCAGCACTTTTCCCATTTTTAGAACAGACGTCAAGAAAACGTCTATTACTTTATAAAAAAGTTAAGATTTTTTTTTGGTTCTGTTGAGGTGAAAGAGAAGCTGCGTTCCTCCAGATAGACCAACACATGATGATGAACGTTCTTAGAGGCCCAGCTGTGCCTTAATCACTGCATTGTACAAAAACATTTAAGTTTACATCCTTCGTCTGGTGTTGGTCACATTTTTTGCACAGATCTGAGTCTGCAGAACCGAACACTCGATTGAACGACGGCGTGCGATATCTCTGTGGCACGAAAACCCCAAGACGGAGTTCTTGTCCACACAGAGACCAAACCTTAAGATTCGTTTTATTTTTTAGGGTTTTAAAGATCTTAAAGCAATAGACAATTTTTTATAAAACCTTGATTTTGTTTTTTTTTTAGACCACTGTCTGTGGACTTTGTGTGTGAATGTCGAGGAACTGTTACAAACGCTGATCACTGTGCGGCCTACTTTAAGGTGACCTACTTCACGCGGCTGTTTGGGCAGAATGTGCATTTTATAAACGGCTCATTTGTTTGAACTCTTAGCGAGTCTTGAAGAGCAATCATTCCTCCTTTTGCGTGTATATAAATGTAAAAAGCTGTATTTTGTGACGTCCACGTGTTTATTAATAAGTTTACGATGTATTATTAACGGAAACAAGTCTTTGCTCTTTTGTATGTTGAAAAGTTTGTCATGTTGATAAAGAAATGTTTTTTTGCCGGACAGAGGAACATAAGAGATTTTTTTTTTTAAGAAAAGCATTCCAAGACAAAAAAAAAATGTTTGTCTTAATAAATTTTGTGAGAAATCATTTTTTTGAATCTGCATTGTTCTCCAACATGAAAACAATGAAACTCTGACCTCTTTTCTGTTTTTCTCTCTTTTAAAGTGCTTTTCACTTTGTAATTAAGACCTGTCACTTTAACTTTTATATCTGCAAGTTTAAAAAATTTGCCTTTTTTTAACCCCCCCAGAAAACTTTAATAAACAGAATGTTGAAGCAGAAAGTGGTCGTCTCTGTTCGATCGGTGTCGGCTCCAAATATTCAGTCCTTTCACTTCATATTAGTCCCGTTTGTGTTCACCAAGACGTCAAGTCTCGTACAATCAGACTTATCACCTGCCGCCACAAAAGATGGGCAATAATGTTGCTCTTATGTTGCCTCTGTAAAATAATTGAACCATATAACAGATTTCAATAAACTTCTCAGAAAAGTCAACACTGGATGTCCAATAACTCAATTCAAGATGGCTGCCACTACTACCGTATTATTCGGACTATAAAGCGCATTAAGCGAAACAAAACAGTCATAAGTCAAAACTTTATTCAACTCATTCACAATAACATGAAATCGGTTCGAGGTCAGTAAACGCAACCAGAATACACAAGATTACAAGACTTACTGTCGATTTTAAAGCAAATTAAAGGATTTTAAATGCGCTTTATAGTCTGAAAAAATACAGCAGCTTTTGCAAACACAAAAATGGCTCCTACTCGGCCCGTTTTAGATACTGAGCTAGAATTTGGAGTGGTAGTAGCTGAGAGTCACCCTCAACAGATACTCTGAGCACTACCAGATAAAGTGGTGGACGATATGCATCCCTTCAAGGAAAGAACTTCAGAAATCAGAGGTTATAAATATATTTTATAAATGCAGTGTGAAGGCTGTCACTGACCTGGAACTGCTGCCTAAAATAGTCTTTATCCACTTGTTTTATAAGATAATTACATATTTACAAACAGCATACAACATATTTATAGATTTTTATTTATTAGAAACCATTTATATAAAAAACAGTGCGTTAAGGTGCCTCAAAAAGTCAAGAAATATGCAAAGCAGTATTTAAGACAAAAAAGTCACTTTTCTTTAAGTAAAGATGTTTACAAAAAATACATTAAGATCAGATTTTCCTATTAAAGTTTAAAAGAGTAAAAGTTCAAACCAGTGTCGTTTTAGGAATACGGTCCAAAAAAGGCCGTGAGTGTGTTTTTAACGTGCGCGACAAGCCGAGTAAAAAAGGTTTTGCTGGATTTGGGTCGAGCCGTGTTCGCCGACAGAAACAGTCGGATCCAGAAAACGATTCACAGCTCTAAATGCAAAAAAAGCAGCCAGATGAAGCAAAAACTAAATGTTCAGCAGGTTAAAAGTCAATAAGAGTTTAGGGAACGCTTTGGTTCTGTTGGCGCTGAACGTTCCCATCATGGCACTGAATCGACGGGCGGCTCCATCCCGGATCCACGACCACCCAACGTGCTTTCACCGAGCGGCTGCGAACACTGCAGCAAAACATGAAGCCAGATTACAGCCTGCATCTGTGTTCCCTGACGCTTTCCAACCAAAACAAACCAAATTAAAAAAGAAGTCGTCTAATTATTTTCTGAGCGCGGAAGTTTTTTTAAAAAGCAGTCGATGTGAACTCACTTCTCTCCCTCAGGCCTTGTCCGAAGCTGTGCACCAGTCTGACGAGCCCCCAGAGCAAAACGGCTTTGATCAGCAGCGACATCAACGCTCCGGTGACGGCGGCGGCCTCCAGGATGTACGTTTTGTCCTGGAACCAATTCTGCACCACCTGGAATCAAAACAAACCAAACAGGGATTTGCTTTAATCTGCTTCAATCTCTCGGCTCCTTAAGACGGGCGACTTCTTGCAAACTGACATTTCATCAGTTTCAAGAGGAACTGTGGCCTTTCTGTCACTGGATGACAAAACTTTGTTTCCATTTTAAAATGATGTCATCGCACCTACACCTTTAGCTCGTGTTTAATCCCAACACGGCTGAAGTTTTTCCTGTTCAATCAAAACTTGAATTAACCTTCGGCTGTTTGACAAACCTTTACTAGAAACTGTAGTTCTAGGAATGAACAAAGCCTTTTCTCCTCACAGAGAGTCACGCAGGTAAAACCTGTTTAAGAACATTTACAATCTCTACAGGAACAGTTGTCTGGTGCTGAAAGAAGAATTTTCAAAAGGTAATAATCGACTTGAGGGAAGGACTCGAGAGAAACCTGTAAAGATTTTGTAGAGGTCAGTCTGCTTTATGAAGAGGTTTGTTGTTCAGAGGACTTTGCTCACCGTGTACATGAGGTAAACAAAGTAAGCCACTTGGGGAAGGTTCATCACCATGAAGATCCAGACCAGGACCGTGGCCTCCTTCAGAACCTGAAAAAGAAGCAAAGGTCTTTGAACGCTCATCAGCCACGAGCACTAAATCCACTGTTGCGTGTGGATTTGAGCCTCAGTGACATTCATCACGTTCATGACACATTGTGAGCTGCAACCCGTGCTTCTCCACCAGCACATGTTTGGAACATCTGAGCCTGCTGTGGACCTGAGGAGCTCGGGCTGAGTCAGATGTGAGTCAAAGTATCTTTAGCATCATTAAATTCTAACTAAAGTAAATGCATTTTCTGCTAAAATGAAGTGAAGACTAGCTAAAAGCTAACCAAAGAAAAACATCTGCTTAAAGCAGAAAAAAGTTTGATCAAAGTAACAAAAGTCTAGTTAAAAGTTAAAAGTAGCTACATTTTTGGCTTAAAGAAGCAAAAGGTTAACTAAAATTAGCAATAGGTTAGCTTCTTCTTCTTCTTTGAGCTTTTCCCTCTTCAGGAGTCTCCACAGCGAGTCATCCTCCTCCATCTCACTCTGTCCTCACTCCACCCCCATGTCCTCTCTAACTGCATCCATATATCTTCTCCTTAGTCTTCTTCCTGGCAGCTGCATTTCTAACATCATTCTACCAGTATATCCACTGTCCCTCCTCTGGACATGTCCACACCATCTCAGTCTGGCTTCTCTAACTCCCAGTTGTTCAACCTGTGCTGTATCTCTGATGATCTCATTCCTGATCTTATCCATCCTTGTCACTCCTAAGGAGAACATCAACATCTTCATTTCTGCCACTTCCAGTTCTGTCTCCTGTCTTTATGTCCACTGTCTCCAGACCATACAACATAGCTGGTCTCACCACTGTCTTGTAAACTTTTCCTTTGACCTTTGCTGACACCCTTTTGTCACAAATCACTCCTGAAACTGTTCTCCATCCACTCCATCCTGCCTGGACTCTCTTCTTCACCTCTTTACCACATTCCCCATTTTCCTGGACAGTGAAACCCAAGTACTTGAATAACCAGATGAAACCCAGCTGAATCAACTTTGTCATCATTTCAGGACTCTTGGATACTCAGAGGTTATTCTTGGCCATTCCTCAACATACCTCGAGAATGTTTATGGATCTCACCGGAGGACATTGACTGATTACAGTGCCCTCGAGAGCATCTATAAGCGTTGTTGACCGCTCTCGTCTCTGATTGCAGAATGTCTACGTAAATATGTGCTTGTTTGTGCGAGGTGTTTTTTTAATATCAGAGGTTTTTTTTCTCATGCAAGAAAAAAAAGTCTGATAGGAATTTTTTTGGCCTCCAACTCCTACATGTGTCCAGTTAACCACTGTTCTTTTGTCTGTCCAAACAGGTCTCACTTGTAAATGAGTCTTCGAGGCTCAATGTGATTTATCTGTTTAAATAAAGG